GCTCCGGACGTTGGACAATGAGACGCAATGCCGGCCTTAATATTTGTCCATATTAAAATTGTCCCGGGGAGTGGCTCGCGCGCTCAGTTTCCCCCTCCCCCCCCCCCGCGGCTTTCTGCCCAACTCCGCCACACTTTCCGGTCTTTGGCTTTTCGGCGCCGGTCGGTGTTCGCATCCAGGCCAGGTTCCACGAAAGTGAAATGATATTCATTTCCCATTTCAGTGGCTGCCTGCAGCCCCAGCGGGGAAAGCCCCCTCCTGGCCAGGCCGGAGACGCGTGGGGTTGCACACCGCGCTGGCGGGCTATCCGCCTGTGTCCAAACGCACGCACACGCACCACACATGTGCAGCACCTCCTCCCTTCAGGGAGCATACTTTTGAAACGGATATCTCCCCCCCGCCCCCCCTCCGGCTGACTGCGGCTGGTGGCTCCCACTCTCAGCCTGAAACCCGCGCGTGTGGTGGTCGTCCATCCCCTCCCCCCCCCACCCCCCCCCCCCGCCGGGGTATCCGGCCCCCTCCCCTCCCGCGCCGAAACCCGAAGACAGCCCCCGCAGTCGCCTTCCTGACCCCCTTCCGGAGGAGGGAGGCAGGGAGACCGATCTCTCGGCGACCCATCCGCAGGCGCTGCCTCCCCACCGTCCTTGGGAGCGAAGGACGTTACGCCCCCCCCCCCCCCCGCCCCGCGCCCAGTCGCCTTTGGGCTCGCGGGAAATCGTGGCACTGAGTCGGCGGTCCCGGCCCGGCACGTGAGGAAGCATTTCACAAGTTAGACACATCACGCGGAGATGGGCGCTCCACAATCCACCCCCGCACCCCGCCCTGCGTTGGTGCGCGGATCTGCGGGAATCCCCCCCCCCCCCCCCCGGACCACCAGCCCGCGGCGCCGAGGCGGACGTGAAGGGCCGGGCAGTTCGTTGGCAAAAGAGAAGTGATGCCTCCCAGCACCCTTTCCCCGGGCGTCGGGGATCTTTCACACACGCACACACAACTTTCCCCTCCCCCCCGATCGCACCTGCCCCGCCTGCCCGCCTCCGCCCCCGCCCCGCCCGCCAGCCATGACCACCCTCTCATTCCCCGGCGTGTCATGCATGCTCCTCGACATTGAGGGCACCACCACATCCATCTCCTTCGTGCATGACGTCCTCTTCCCGTATGCCGCTGCCAACCTGGAGGCCTTCCTCCGGTCGCACCCGACCGATCCCAATGTCATCCGACACACTAACCTGCTGGTGGAGGAGGTGTGTTTGTATTTTGCCGTCGCCCTCCCCCCCCCCCCCCCCCCCCCCCCCCCCCCCCCCCCCCCCCCCCCCCCCCCCCCCCCCCCCCCCCCCCCCCCCCC